AAATTTCCTGTAATTAAATTTATTGAGGCTACGGAGTCTGAATTATCAATGCTGCTTGCTAATATATCACTGGTGGTTGGGGAAAAGTGCATTCCTCGCAAAATACCAAAGTGTTCTGCCCATCATGTTTGTCTTTTTGCTTCTCAGGCCCGCAGTAGAGAGATCTAGTAACTGGAACTTGCTCCTCTGTAATGGAATGTTAAGCTTCGACATAAAATGGGTTAATTCATCCGTTTAGAGTTAATTGCTTAACTCGTACTGTGCAAAAGTTCTGGCGCAAAAGTGGAGGCAGAGTAATATCTCAGCCCATTTTCGTAGAGTGCAGGGTGGGGAGTGGTGGAAGAACTGAAAATGCTCGTCAGACCCTGAGACCCAGGCTATGTACGTTGCTGGATTATCCTCATAGCAGATTGGTTCATGTAACGTGAGCAAATGTGTAAATTAGCATTTTGAACTTGGACAAGTTAGAAATTGCCCATTGTGATGATGGTCATTGTCTTATTGGCTTTTGCGAGGCATCACGCGTTATGATTCCTCTGTCTCATCATATATCGTTGCCAATTTTTGCTTACCTCTAATTGACACAATCCAGTCTCAGTCTGTTAGCATTTCTGTTAGACTTCCGGCCTCGAGGCGTCCGTAACCCCGATCCGCCGCACAATCAATTGTTATTCAGTGAATCTGGAGTGTTTGCATTTTGTAATGTCAATGTTATTGTGACAACTCGTGCGCTATAGTATACGTTAGATGTCTTGATCTTTGATAAAGCTTCCTGACATCAACCTTCCAAGGCAGCTAATCGTCTCATCCAGGTTTCCCCTACCAGATCCATCGTGTACCTGAATATTTCTTCTTTACTATTTCCGTTTGCCTCGTGTTGTTACTACGTTTGTCCTTTGATATCCTGCCATATCGTAATCCATTTTTAGCTATTCTTCCGGCCGCTCTGCCTGTGCTTGATTAACGGAACGCTATCATGATGAGAATACTTTGTCTCCTTATGTTTGCTGTTGCCTTTGCTTTATCCTCATTAACCACCAAGTAGGTTAAAAAATTATAATACAAATTAGAATCCCATTGCATCGGATTGCTATTGGACCACGGTCGTTTTCAGACATTAGAGATTCCGTTAAAATTGCTCGAAATCGATGGAGTGTGGCGTACGGTCTGCAAGGACCACACCCAGAACCCCTTGAAAATTACCTTGATGTAAGTTGCTTTTCGTTTCAATCTTTGGGACAATTTACCTCTTGCAGCATATTACGCATAACCATTTTATGGACACGATTAAGGATGTATTTAAACAAATTTTAGGTCTCAGATTTGATTAGTATATTCATAGGTGTGTTATTAGTGCTTGAATAAGACTTTAACTCTGTAGATTGGAAGCTTTTGAAGACTTACGTTATTGCAATATTTCATAACAAACAGCGTATATCCGATGTGTCAGCATTCTTTTTTCGTTTTTTCTTGGCAACTGAGACTTTCTAGACTCTACCTCTAGTTCAACAACCGTGGCTCTATTTTATTCTCTGAATGCCCACTATTTTTAAATTTAGGCTCAATATTATGGTGAAATTGAGTTGGGAACGCCTGGTCAAAAGTTTATGGTCGTTTTTGATACCGGTTCGTCAAACCTCTGGGTTCCTTCTAAAAAGTGTTCGTGGTTGGATATTGCCTGCTGGGTACACCACCAATATGACAGTGAAAAGTCCAGTTCGTACAAGAAGAATGGCACCGATTTCTCCATCCATTACGGAACTGGCAGCCTTACAGGTTTTTTGAGCACTGACACTGTCAAGGTACACATTATCCTAATTTGCTCGCATAATCCTTCGCCCCTAGACAAGATCGTCTGTCCATTTTAGCTCTCTGACATTCGAGTACCCGATCAAACGTTTGCTGAGGCTACTCAACAACCGGGCATTGTGTTTGTGATGGCAAAGTTCGATGGAATTCTAGGAATGGGTTTCAGTTCCCTGTCAGTTGACAGCGTTGAACCGGTCTTCTACAATCTCGTTCGCAGAAACCTTGTTGCTCAACCTGTGTTTGCCTTTTATTTGAATAGGCAGGTTCACATCACTTAGTTCTGGCAGATTGTTCAATTTCAAATATCTGCTTTTCGATTCTATTTGGTCTAACTGACGAGGCCATAAACGTTAGCACCGTTTATAATCACTTTGTTTGTTTACCCAATCTCTATTCTTGTAACTTGTTTGCTGATTAGTTGTGGGAGGGTCTACACAGTTTTGTATACAATTGTTAATATTCGCAATTCATTCGCCTTTTTGCCACTTGGAATGATACTCAACAAACAATTATGTCAACTTTAAAATTAACGCCTGCTCAGTGACTGCTTTCGAACAATTTGTATACCTACTTACCCGAAAATTTGTGCACAAGACAATTTCGATTCATTCTTTTTGTAGGAACTCTACAGATGTCATCGGTGGTGAAATTATGATCGGTGGCATCGACGAACGTTACATTGACGGACCCATCATTTACACTCAGGTAACTCGAGAAGCCTATTGGGAATTTCGCGTTCAGGGGTGAGAATTCATTTATTTATCTGTCTAGTTACTGAAAATAAACGTATTTAAAGCACAATAATATCCCTCTTGTATTTGCTTAAAAGTACATTAATATTACTATTTAAAATGTCATCTGCAATGTTGATAGCGTAAATGTAGATTTTACCAAAATTGGCTCAAGTCAAAATAGCGCAAAATGCTTCTAACGGGTTATTACACATCCTCGTTGGACTATTGTAAAATAGTCGTGGGTAACAGGCATTTGGTATGTTACAAATTAGAATGCTAAATTTTGTTATTCGTCTAGTGAAAACTACGTCAAAGTAACTGATCCTACTTGGAGCCGATGTTACCGGATTTTTCAGGAGATTTCGGCTGATTGACCGACTGAATGAGAACGTGTACCTTAATAAAAATGACGTTTGTAGTGGTGATATCTGTAAGGGGGTATACTTGTTGCTTGCAATTTCGAAGTTATTTGTTGGTAGCAATTGAAATATGAATTTTATCTTGCCGAACACCTTCACTCAAGTGACGGGCTTGTCATTGGTCCTATGGGAACTGATTAATTTGCATACAATTTCATATCAATTCCTTGATGCCAAGTGGTGAGAATTCACAGGAACAGCAATTTTTTTTATATCAAAACGCTGTCTGCATTGTCTAGAGGCATTGCATCGATTAGTCTCTAGTTCAAAGCTTTTACTGCTGCTTCGGATCAATGTACGTCTCTTATCGTTTGAGCTTACAATCTGTCGATGCTCTTAAATGTCTTGTCGTGTCACCATTGATCGTGCTTTTTATGATCAAAATCATTACTGGTTTTAAATGACCCGCGATTTCGCCAAAGACTTCTACAATGTTTTAATTAAATTTCGCAAAACTCTAAACAGCTGAGTGTCTTTCAGCGATTCCTCATCCCTTTGTGAATAACTTATTTTTATGTATAGCATTACGGTTAACGGTGTGCCATTATGTGAGGGTGGATGCAGCGCCATCGCGGACACGGGGACTTCGTTAATTGCCGGCCCTACAGAGTCGGTGCGACGCTTGGCTGCAGAAGTAAAAGCTCGACCTTTTCCTGGCGGTATCTATATTGTCCCATGCAACTTGGTCTCCACCTTACCAATCGTCACCTTTACCATCGAGTCGACAGAATTTACTCTAGCTCCAGAAGATTATATTCTCAAGGTCGGTTCCTTGCTTTTCCGAGATCTTAATCTGGTTAAGTGTTGCCCCACAACCGGACACAAAGTACTCAGTGAAAAACAAGAAAACCAAAGCCGACACTGACGCAGTCACTTATTGTTCCATTAGTTTAAAGTCGTATGTAGGTGTAGAAAGGTGTGAAGGAGATACGGAGGGAGTTGCTTCATGCCGTAATAAGGAGACTGGTTCTAAAAGGACTATGTTACCGGGGCAAAAAATGTGCGTATTAATACGCATCTGTTGATCTGGTCATCGTGGCAGTAGCTTCAGGTAAGTGACAAATGTCCCAAATTGTCGGTTCTTGTGCTTCTTCGTCGTTAGTCAGTCAGTTTCTCACGAATAGTTGGTTAGGCGGCCATTTATCAGGTCAAAGGTAGCACAAAGGTTGCGATTTTAAATATCAACCACAAAATCTCATAATTCGTGTAAAATTTGATCCTGTGGAAATTTGGCTTCCGTTTTAAGGTAAACCAATTTGGTCGCACTGTATGTTTGCTCGGATTTATGGCATTGGACGTCCCCGGCCACCCGATGTGGATACTAGGGGACATTTTTCTTGGCAAGTACTACAGCATCTTCGATCTGGGCCAAAAGCGTCTTGGGTTTGCACCTGTGAAGAACCAATCAAAATCATCCATAAATCCATCTGGTAGTAGCCGTCGTCGCAAGGTCGTCCCCATGGCCAATCTTGTGCCTGCCCAGCAACTCTATACCTAAGGGCATATTTGTAGCGTTCCACTGACTTGTCATCATACTCAGAATCCTAACCGCACTGGGTTATTAAATTGTACTCCATTTGTCTTATTGGATACCATACATACGTTCGTACTGCATTGCATTCACCCTCAATTAAGTGTTTAATTAAAACATCATGTCCTAAGTAAACGCGTCGCCTCCCTTCTAAGCTTTATTTCCAAAGTTCATGATTTCTTAATTCTCACCCAAAAATGGTGTACTCCTTAAAAAGGTTAATGTGTTTATATCAATATTCCTTTCGTTAAGGTTTGATATTTATCGCAGTTTCCCATGTTTGCCCTCTTTTGTTGATAGGTGGGAGAAATGTAATTCCTAATATTATGCTTTATATGTTGGCATAATGTGGTGGTGCACTTTAATACAGAAAAGATTTTTTTAATTTGCATGACAAACATTAGCATAATCTTGGGTGATTTAAGCTATCAACATCTTTCTTTTAATTGAATTAACTCAGTTACTGGGTTTTATGTTGGCTCCACGTAAACGTCGTTCCAGCAGTTCCATGGGAATCGTGGGTAGTGCGTTAGTTGTTGCCTTTTGTGTCTCCTCTCCCTGAAACATCCAATTTATTGTCGCGTTGAGGTAGTTCTTAGCTTGGCCGTTCGGGCATCTAGCCCAAGCAAGGGCCTGTTCCTCCCTTGTTGCGCTAGTTTCGTCTAAGTCGCATACCAGAGAGTCTGTTTCTGACAGTATTCTCGAGCTCCCCCTCCTTCCCTCTTCGTTCTCTTGTGGCGATTCCTCGAGCCGGAAGAAACAAGTAGGCGAAGAGGTGATTATCTTTTCAAGCTCAGGTCGCACCGATTTCATTGCCTCTGCTACCTCGAATGGCTTCACCATGACGGTATCACTAAGAGTTTGAAAAGTGGCTCCCGTCAGTAAACGCTGCTGGCAAATAAATAATCAGCATGACTGCATTCCCACAAGCGTGGCTACACTTTTTTGCATGATTTGTTGGATATTTTAGCAATCGCCCAATT